CCCTCAACGAAATCAAGTTTGACATCCCTGAATTAATAATCGAAACGACTTGCCTCTAGAAGTTGTGCATTCTCCAACATTGGAAGTTTTTAAGAAGAGATTGGACAACGGTTTGTCTGAAATGGTGGCTTCCTGCCTGACCAAGGGGTGGGACTAGAAGGCCTCCCAGGTCCCTTCCAACTCTGCTATTCTATTCTGTGGTTGGGTTCTGTTCTGTTCTGAAAAGGTCTGCCATAACTTTGAGCAACCGATCGTAAGTTGAGGACTAGCTGTACACTCCTAGATAAAAGGTGGGATAAAAAGCTAATAAATCAAATATATAGAACAGAGGTGTGTTTTTGACAAGGGTTAGGCTGTGCTATGACTATGCTATGCTATGCTATATTTTCTATTCTATTCTATATTTTTAGCTATTCTATTTATTCTATTCTACGCTATGCTATTCTATATTTTCTATTCTATGCTATTCTATGTTCTGCTATGCTATTCTATATTTTGTTTTCTATTCTATATTTTCTATTCTATTCTATATTTTCTTTTTTATTCTATTCTAATTCTATATTTTCTATTCTATTCTATATTTTCTTTTCTATGCTGTGCTATGCTATATTTTCTATTCTATTCTATTCTATTCTATTCTATTCTATTCTATTCTATTCTATTCTATTCTATTCTATGCTATGCTATGCTATGCTATTCTGTATTTTCTATTCTATGCTGTGCTATGCTATATTTTCTATTATTCTATTCTATTCTATTCTATTCTATTCTATTCTATTCTATTCTATTCTATTCTATTTCTATTTCTATTTCTATTTCTATTTCTATTTCTATTCCTGTTCTATTCTAAATTAAAAGATTGCCTTGCATACACAGGAGAGCCAATCAGCGAATGCCCAAAAACCGGATAAAGCATTGAAGGCACACAAACCTGAGCGGGATGTCCCATCGGACAAGCGCGAAGCATGTTTTGCCTGCTTCTTCGACTGCAGCTCACGGGCTTCTATCTCCACTTGAACCTGGGCGACTTTGGCCCCCGGACTGGCCGAGTTCTTCACTCGTTTCCGCCGGCGGTCGACGAGATGATGCTGGACTTCCTTACGCCCGATCTCCCGCGGGACCACCAGCTCCTGCTCAACGCGGAGGAACTGGTTCAGCTGGTTGAAAAAAGGCCACGTTCTCCTGCCCGATCCCCAGTGGCTGTGCCCTCCGAGGCAATCCTTGTAGCTTTTCCGGAGATGCTTAGCTTTCTCCCGGCACTGGAGCCAATTCCGGTCGTAACCCCGGGCCTTCATCTGGCATGAAATCCACTCAAACTGAGAGACCGTCCGGTAGTTTGAGAAGAGGGCTCTCTGTACAGATGTGTCCCCCCAGATCTCAATAAAAGCTTGGATTTCGTCCTCGGTCCAGCGAGGATGCTTCCAGTGAGAGGCCGTAAAATCCCGGAGAGGACAAGAGGTTTTCCGGGAGAACCGGGCGCCTCCTGACGGGCTGGACGCAGCCTCCGAAAACGAAGAGTCCCTGGGTCCTAAGTCGAGAAAAACGGTGAACACGAACAGAAAACGAGCTATGTTTCACTCTGGCGTGGCAGGTCTTTTTTTGGGGGTGGGGGGGTGTATTTTTAAACGCCGGACGGAAGGGGTGAAAAGGCAGCAGGCACACAGCACAGTGTCAGGATTCCGTCAGCTAGCCAAACTTCCAAAACTTCCAAAGGATTTATTGGGAGTTAACATGTCCGGCCCTGCCTGGGTGTAGCCAACTCTGAGACACACAATTCACTGTCACCCTTGACCCTAGTTTTTCCCTTGCCTCCCTGGGCGTATAGTAATTCATATTCTCCAACGGGACACATCCATAGCCCAGAGTCATCAATCATGTTCTCCAATTAGAATTTTGCCCGGCAGAAACTTCAGTCACCTAGTTACTATCTTTGAAAAAAACTATTTATGGAATGCACTTTCGATTTCCAAGCTGCCGCACACTGCTCTTTCAAACCCCTTTCTCCCCCTCCCTTTCTGTTGGCAACTCTAAAATGACCATAGACATATTTTATGAGTTGACACACAACTAAGTAGGGGGGCAAATTGAAAGGCAAAAACTGTCACAGGAGATAGGTGCGGAAAAGCGGACGCCAACCAAGAAAGAGGGTGCCCACCAGGTTTTGCTATTTATTTTATTTTATTTTTTTGATGAACATGGTTCAACGCCAATTTGGGATGTTAATTTTTACGTGGGTGTTCCCGTGGTTAGACAGGCAGCCTTATAAATTGGATGAGCCGCTGTGGTGCAGTGGCTAGAGTGCAGTACTGCAGGCTACTTCTGCTGACTGCTGGCTGCCTGCAATTGGGCAGTTCGAATCCCACCAGGCTCAAGGTTGACTCGGCCCTCCATCCTTCCGAGGTGGGTAAAATGAGGGCCCAGATTGTTGGGGGCAAGAGGCTGACTCTGTAAACCGCTTAGAGAGGCCTGCGAAGCACTGTGACGCGATATATAAGTGTTATTGCTATTAATAAAGAAACAGGTGCTCAAAATAACAACTGTGAATGGGGGATGTGCCTTAAACCAGAACACACATTTGAAAAATTGGGATTCAGCAATGATACATTCATTAAGTATTGTTTTTATTGTAATGGAGGATAGGGTTTCCAGAGTAAAGCACAGGCTATGTTGTGGATCTTGTGTTTACTTTCCCTCCCTCCCTCCCCTGTCATCTCTGTATCTCTCTCTTTCTCTCTCATCTCTGTATCTCTCTCTCTCTATCTGTATGTATGTATGTATGTATGTATGTATATATGTATATACACATAGATACATAGATACATACACACACACACACATATATCCCTTCCTCCCTCCCTCCCCTGTCATCTCTGTATCTCTCTCTTTCTTTCTCT